TAGCCGTCCATTTGCTTTTTATTATTATATGCAATATATAGGGTGATTAATTTAATTATACATACTTTAAATACATGGCTTGTTGTCATTTGAAGGCCTTGCAAAAGAAACATACTTCTAGGAGGGATTTGAATGTAGAGAGAGCGAGTTAACTGGGAGTGAAATTTACCTATGTGCAGAAGGCCAGTACAAGGCCTTTGCGCTAGTCAAGTCCCACTTAAGCCCATACTCAAAATAGGACATATATGGTGTATCGGCTCTGTGGGGGGCTGTCTGGATGGGGTTAATTTCATTCAAAATTTCATCCCTCTGCCTTCAAATTCGCCATCGGTGCATCAGGAGAGGATGGGTGTTCTATGAAGGGTGCACCATGACAGACATAGGCTTAGCATGAAAGAAGGTATGAAATTGAGAGTGGGAAGGCATATGGGGCACTTAGAGCATAGGCATCAATAGGGAGAGTAGGATGAAATGAGAGCAGAGGTGAAGGGAGGGGGAGAAGAATTATGTAGAATAGAGCCTTCCATGAGAGGATGGATGACGTTTTTGAATTGTATTCACACCTCTAACATATAATAAAGACAATTCCAATAAAATATAAGATGTTTAAGCAAAAATTCCATAATTGGGCACATGCATCACTTTTTATAGCTTATTTAATTGCATAGGCCACTCAAGACCAAGATGACAACTCCTATGGTACTACCAACCAACCAATCAGCCAATTGATTGACCCAGTATTTCCAATTCCTTTCAAACATTCAAAAAATCATGAGGTTGGCTTAAAAATCATAAGACTGAAAAATAACAAATGTGGAGGTCTATTTATTGGTCTTCTGTTTTTCGAGCCCTTAGGATACACTCAGATCACATTTTCCAGCTTTTCTCTTCAAAATGAATGCTAGATACTTGCTTTTTTATTTAAACTAATAAACATTGAGATTCTCATATAATCCCATGACTCCAAAAGCTGGAACTTTATGAAAAAACCCCACCAAACATCAGGAGACTCCTAATAAAACTCTGAGAGTCGGCAACACTCTTCCCCCCTCTAGTTAATATAGTCTATTAAGATAAATATACTGCACTCATCTTCATTTACTTCATTTAAAAACAAAAACCTACTTGAGTACAGAGAAATACTACATAAATACAATGGACCAGATTTATTCAAAGGTAAAATCTGGTCCTACATATCTAGATTGTAAACTCTTTGGGGAAGGCACCATCTTTTGGTATGTGTTTGTGAAGCACTTAGCACAACGGGGCTGGTGTCCTAGATCAGTGGTTCCCAAACTGGGGTTCATGAACCCCTGGGGGTTCACGAAATGTTATGGGGGGTTCTTGGGAAAAAATCCCCTAATGGCGGACAGAGCTGTCCCTAGGAACCCCGGGCAGCATGGGGCCAGCAGCCTGGAGCCCCTGAGCTTCCAAGAGCTAAGCAGATCAAAGCAAGCATATCTATCACACTGAGGAGATTTAAACTTCAAGACTCCTTATAAGAAATGGAAAGGGAGGTGGATATTTTTTGCTGATTTCATAATTAAATAGGCAGCTAGTAGTGTTTTTAAAATTATTATGAAGAACAAGTTTAAGCTTTGTTGTAACGTGCGTTGTTTGCCTGGACTGCGCAAGACCTGAATGCTTGTGGAAGAAGGAACTCTTTGAGTTGGCTTCTTAAATATCTTCAGGCTGTTTCACATCTTATACTCCTCGATGAAACTTAGGAGCCTTTTCTTATAACAGGCTTATTCAAAGTGATACAAGCTACGAAAGGGAGATCTTGGAAGAGTGTTGCCGTTTTCATAATGTAATAAAAATACTGTAATGATAAATAATAATTAATAATAGTGTGGAATAAGCATGTCATAAAAACAAATGTTATATTTCCAAGATCACTGCTTTTATCATTTATACTGAAGTAAAGGAGAAAATCCCTGGAAATATTCATTTTTAGAAGGGGGGTCGCCAAACTTGACATTTTAGTGAAAGGGGTTCACAGGTTGTTAACGTTTGGGAACCACTGTCCTAGATGTTACCGCAATACAAATAACAATCAAGACTACAACCCAGATTCTCTGCTACATGCAGCTTCTGCAGCGGAGGGAGCAGGAAGAGCCAGGAGGGAGCAGAGCTGCAGCTCCCTGAGTCCCTAGATTGTTCAGGAGCTTCTCTAAACTGAGCAGCCAGTAACAGCTTCCAAGAGGCCACCCCACCCATAAGCTGATCATGGCTAGAGCACAATGCACTCTGGCCACATCTTCCTATTCCTCTTTGCACTCATCATGACCCCTATGTTGGGATGGGAAGAGAGTGGCATTGACTTCATGACACCTGAGGACTCCACCATGCCAGGGAAATTTCCCTGTGTCCAGATCCACTCAGTTTCTCGCTCCTTTGCCCCACCAGAGTGGCAACAAAGAGGCCAGAGAAGGGGTAGAAAAATCTAGCCCTAATTTTTTTCCTTTTTATTGTTTGCCAACATAAAAGCAATTGAACAGCATTAGAAGAAGAGAGAATCTGGGACCTAGATAAATTAAAGCACAAGGATTAGAACTGTTAAATACAAAAATCTCATGTTTTAACAATCCTATTCCCTCAGAAGTCATAAAAACACATAATGAAAACTGAACATGCTAGAGATAAGTCACCAGCCATAAAGAGTGACTGCACAATAAGGAATACCACTGGTATTCTTCAGTGGCAAATTAAAAGGGAAGCTTTTCAAAGCACTAAATAGACGTCAGCTTAACCAATCTCTTCTGTAGGGCAGCACAAGATGGTTATATACAGTTGACACAGTATATTATAGAACACACTTCAGTGCAGAATACTTGGGCATATGTTTTACTTTGTCTCACTTCCACTTCTGTTTTCTGGTACTAACTACTAAAGCATGTTTGATTAGGCAATAGAAGGAATCTCTGCTCTTTCCAAAATTAACCACAAGCTTCTGGCAACAAAACAGAGTACTTACTCTGGCTCTAACCACAGTTGCTAAACAGGCCTTGCAAAGAAAGACAGTTTGCCAGAGTATTAAAAATACAAAATTGCCTTGGGTTTTATGTAATATTTATTTGAACTGCTAAAAAATATAATATATATAACAGACCATTTTAGAAAAGGGAAAGAAACATGAAAACAATTTTTAAAAGATAATTGTTCAAATGTTCTGTCCTTTTGCATTTAACACTGAGAAGTCTTTAGAAATCTTACAAAACTGGGGCCTGATCCTGCAGTTCTTATTCACATGGGTACTCCCACTGAAATCAATGGTATTACTCATCTCAGTAAGGTCTGTAGAATCAGGCCATTTTTAGTGGTAGGGAGATACTTTAACTTTGTTCACTATAATACCTTTCCATGCAGTATTGCTAACCCCAAGCATTCAAAATGCATGTTAGCCCCCCGTCTCCCGACCTCCCAAAAAATCATAAGACTGGCTGAAAAATCCTGAGGTTTTAAAAAAATAAGCGTGAGGTTCTTTTTATTTCACTTCTGATTTTTTTTAACCATGAGTGTTAGAATTTTACTTTCTCTTCATACTGTAAATGAAAGTTGAAATTCTCATGACTTCAGGAGCTGGGGATGTAAGAAAAACACCAAATATCTCAGAGCTTATAATAACAGGTCGAGAGTTGGCAACACTGAAAGTGGTCCCTGTTTAAATTTCTTGCATAGTCAAGAAAAAAAACGACCTAGGATTCCTCACTCTGCCCCACGGTTTAACCAAGGTACAAGGATGAAATGCTGGTTCCGCTAAAGTCAGTGGCATAAGTCCCATTGACTTCAGTAGGGCCAGAATTTCCACCTTATGCTGTTTTCTATAAATGAATACAAAATAGTTTAAGTCAGGACAGCATATCACACATCCTTTGCCTTTTTGGGCCACATTTTCAAATTTGTTCTACAGTATGCAAACTCTGTATTTTAATGTCCAATCAAGTAATTAGATGTGCAATTGTCCATTTGTGTGTGCAAATGAAAGTTTTCCACAAACATACTTTGAAATACAATTGTGGAGGCCAGCCTGAAACTTTGGCTTAGCTGGCATGGTGACAAGCCCTACAGAAGTTAAGAACATGTTAATAATTTACACCTTCAGGCACTTTACAAACATTAATTAATCCTCAAGTGACCCTTATGAGGTAGGCATAGATGAGGAAACTAAAGCATGGGAGTTTCATGATTTGCCTAAGGCCACAAAAGGAGTCAGAGCTGGGACTTACAACTCAGGAGTTCCTGGTTCCTCAACAGTAGATAATATCCCTTTCTTAATTGCACAATTGTTTCATTTCAATTTTGCAGTGGAATGATCTAGAGTTTACAGCAGTGTTTCCTTCTCCCCATCTTCTTAGGACACTGAGTTGACATCTAGCCCGTCATTCTCTTTCTACCTTTGTTTTCTCTAGTTTTCATCAAAAGCTGTATTAAAAGCAATACGGCCAGCATCTCCATCCTCCCAAAAATCATGCGTCACCTACCAGCCTGGAGAATGGAAGCCCCAAGGTTACTCCTGAATGTAAGTATGAGTCATGCCTGTGCAATCAGTATAGCTGTTGCACAATATGTTTAACAGCCTGTCCTTTATATACAACATTCTATTCATTCTCCACTTCCCAAATTACCGTTGTCGAATCCCATTAATTTGTAGAAAAACACATTTAAACCCAAACCTGTTAGGTTAGAAATAGAACCTCTAATTTTCCTTTCCAAAATACAGAACAGCCAAGAGACAAAGAAAGAAAAAGGAAATCTCTACAAAATACACATCTGGAACCAATCTGCTGTATGTTGCCACTGGGTGTCACTTTTGATATATACTGGGTCAGCAGTGGAGCACTTCATTGCGGGAAAAATTTATTTCAAGGTGATCCTAACCAAAACGGACTGCACTGAAACATATTGGGCACAGCCTGTAATTGTCAATTAGCCAGCAATGCTGATTTATTAATACGACATCTTTATAAATATATTAAATATTGCAAATCAGATCTTACCTTTCAATCTGCAGTGTGACTTTTGAAGGCTCAACATTAGGGTTTTCCCATTCCATCTGTGGACAATGCATAAAATAACAGAGTGTGTACAACGCCTCGGGTTCCCAGTATAGTGATCCCTGCTTGTGGTGCATTGGAGTGCCGTTGCCATGCTGCTTTGAGTTGAGTGGCTGGAGGTGATGCATTGCTCGAGACACCAGATCACCTGAGAAGGAAAAATTTGATGACTACTAAAACTGTAATTTTTATTTCTCCCCGGGTAGTTTTCAAACAAAAGGATATGGCAAACTCTTTTTGCTTTCCAGTTAAAAATATCATGCATGAACAGAAAGTGACAGAACAGGCTTGTGTTCATTATTCATTTTCAACATCAAGTTAGTTTGGCTGTTACAGTAGTTCATCTGCTGTGGAAGTTTATATGCTGTGGTGATGTATATGGGTTGCAGACAAGACCACAAAGGCCTAGGGGAGAATTCTTCTGGGGAAGGCACTTCAATTACCATAAGCAACCCTATACCGGCCCCCTCACAAGTCCTGGTGCAGAGGGCATGGTCATAGCAGTCAATGGCAGCCCTGAAAACCTGCCATAATCCCAGGGCTGTATAAATTTATGGTGGAGGCTATTTAGGTCCCCAGAGCAGTGCAAAATCTCAATGGCACAAACCTACCTTTGTCCCATCTCCAAGGGCTGTGCCTTTATTAGCTACCCACACAAAGTAACACTGAAATCCAATTATTGATGGAGCATAAGATGGCAACCAAAAGGCACAGAGAACAACATGAGTGCGTGTTGAGGGAAATTTTGGACACAGACATTGTGGCAAAGCCCTGCTTTTACAAAACAATACATATCATCTTTAAAAGAGGTAAAGGGCTTTACACCACCACTGGAAAAGCAAAACAAAAAACAGAAAAACACCCTTCCAGACCTTTCCACAATTCTAGAATCACACATTTTAAAACCAGCATTTGGCCACATCATTCTGTGTATATCACTCTCCCTGACCATAAGCGTGGACTTCATTGCTGTACGGTATGTAGAGCATCAACAACGTTTTTAAATATTCACTCTTACAGGAAATGTGGAACCCCATTAGTGTATATTAAAAGTTCAGGGACAGGTGTCCTCATCAATTTGAAAGCTGTCATTGCTAGCTTTAAACTGGTACTAAAAATGATAATATTAGACACGGAGCTTATGTCACGCCCTAATAGAAAAACACAGATTCAGAATCAGATGGCTTATTTTGGTATTGTGAAAAGGAACCAGATGCATTCCGACGTGTTGCTTCTGGCAAACAATACATTCCAGTGCACAGTATTTGTTTTTCTTTTTACTGAACACATACAGCCAAATTCCACCCTCAGTTCCAGAGGCGTAACTCCCATTAACTTCAGTGGGAATTGTGTCTGTGTAACAAAGCAGAGTAGGGCCCCAAGGCTCTGACAGACAATGGTTAAAATCCTATCAGAAACGTTTAACAGAAATATAACCTATGCACCTGGACTAGGCCTTAAAGGATGTTAGCCAAAGAGAATACTGTGCAGTAGAATCACTCAAACAATTTAGGTATCTAGAGAACAGAATATGGCCCATTAGAAGGCTTTCATTGTTTCTCTATGACTGTGTGGCTCTCCAAGTTTCTTCTGTCAAGATATGGAAAATAAATTGGGATATGCAGAAAGTGATCTGATCTGCTTGCTTCATTGATTAGCAGACAGACAAGCAGGCTCACAGGCAACCTAGAAATGAAGTATCCCTCCAACCATTGTACTGATATTAATTAATTAAGTCTCACAACTCCTCTGTGAGGTAGGTAAATTTTATAGCATTTTTTTGGGTAGTGACCCCTGAATTGAAGGCAAAAAGTCAGCTTTGGCTGTAACTCTGTTTTCACATGCTCAGATCATTCTGGAAAGTCTTCTTTTGGAATGAAATGTTTTCAAAATTGGTCTCTGTTCAAAAGGGCCTTTTTTTCCTTTTCCTTTTAAAATGAAAGTCTGAGCAAAATCCCTTCAGTTGTTTTTGAGTTCTACAGCAAAGAGAAAAAATGGTTTAAAAATTATTGCCACACTTTGTCCCCCATGCAGGGGACTCAAATAATTGCTGAACATTGAAACTTGGAAAGAAATACTCACTGAGGTGTGAGTATATGACCAAGTTTGGGGTGGGAAGCGGGAAGGGGAAAGGTTGGATAAAAAATTTACAAGCAAATTAAAAAGATCAGTGGGGATCTATTAAGATTTTTTGCCCACTGAAGTTCCACCCCTTTTATGACATTAGAATGCACCACCTCGAACAGCCTAGACTGGTACAGACGGCTGCTGCGGCTGAGATAATTTGCACAAGGGAGGATATAAATGTTTCACTGAAAAATGCACAGCACAATCCTCCAAAAAACACAATCTTAAAACCAGGAACAGAAGAAAACTGCTGGCACGAAAAAATTGCGGAGTCCATGATTTTAGGGTTTTGACAATTTTTGCTGCACTCTGCAATATTCTTCTGATTCAAAGCTTTCATTTAAAAAATAGTTTCTGTCTTTTCCCACTGCTACAACATTGTCATGATAGGGACTAACCCTGGAGCTCTTACATAATTCCCCCTGAAGTTAAGAGATATTGTATGTGAAAGGGCTGCAGGATCAGGTCCACAATGGAAAGAGAGGTGCTTCTGAATAGATTATCCAGCCTTACATAAAATTTATCTACAAGCAAGTAGCAACAGCAGTACATTTTGGAACTCACCCTGTCCTCATTCCCTTCACCTACAGGAGATGTAAGTTTCAAAGTCTGAGGCCAATTTAAATGGCACCAACATTATCGGGTGTCAATTTATTTTTCCTCCTCTTAAAAAATAAAAAAAGACATTAAATGCATTAAAAAAAAATTCTGTTGAAGGCAACATTCAGGTTTAAGAATTAAAATCAGAACAACATCAGAAAAAGAAAGTGCTTAAGCCAAATTCTGTCCTCATTTAGGTCCCAAACAAGCAAAGCACTTAAATATGTGCTTAATTTAAGGACTTGATTTGTCCTATTAAAGTGGATCAGGGCCTTATATATCATACAACTCCACTGACTTCAATTGGGTTGAATGATAAATAAAGCAGGACAGAATTTATCAGAAGGTTCAGACAGCAACATTAATTCATCCGAGTTGCACATCCTGCACTTTAAAGGCTATATATTTTATGACATATTCAGCACCAGATACTGAATGAGGAAAAAAACCAAATTAGAAGATACAACATTACAACACAGCCAGTTAATGTTGCTGAAGTAATTTAAGGTGAAATCCTGGTTCCATTGAAGTCAATGGCAAAACTCCTATTGATTTCACTCTTTGGCTTCGGCATTTCCTAACTTCCATTTTATAAAATATATAAAATCACAACTTTAATGCTGAATTAATGTAGTTTTGTGTATTTAATTATGATTCAGTTATATTATACCAAGTACATATTGGACTAGAACTTGTTCTTCCCTTTCCTACCTGATAAATATTTGGGCATATTAATAATAATTAAAATATTGGTTCATCTATTGTGAAACTTAATTGATCGTTGCTGGTAAAGAACTGTGACATTACATCATCTATTTTAATTTTTAAATTGTGTGTGTTTGACTCTGGAGCTCATGAAAGGGGCCAGATGGACAGCCCCAGAGACTGAAGCCCTCTGTTTTGCCACAGAGGGTTTGACTACACTGCAGCTGGGAGTGAACCTCCCAACCTGGGTAGACAGACTCAAGCTAGATGGGCTTGAGCTAATACACTAAAAATAGCAGTGTGAACATAGTGACTTGGGTGGCAGCTTGGGCTTTCAAGCCCACCTGACCTCTGGTCTGAGCTTGGGTGGCTAGCCTGAGTCTACACTGGAGCCGGGACATCTACACTGCTACTTTTAGTGCACTAGCTCAAGGCCAACTAGCATGAATCCATCGACCCGGGTTGGGAGGCATGCTGCCAGCTGCAGGGTTAGACATACCCAGAAAGGGCAGAGCACTGATAGCTGCAGTACAGACTCCATCACACTGCAGTATACTTTTCCCTGCCAGTGCCAAATGTTCAAAAATCATGAATCAGGCCCCTACAAATCATGAAATTGACTTAAAAATTGAGATTTCTTGGGTGCACTTGGGTCACGTTTTCCAGCTTTCCTCTGCAATTATGAGGAGTGGAAACTTACTTTTTTGTTAAATGAAATCTGAGATATTCACATAATCATTGTCTGCAAGAGCTGGAGCTCCCCATGAAACACCAGGTATCACGAGAAGGATAAAATTGCAAGAGCTGGTGCCACTGTGATAGAGCTACTCTCCATTCCAAATCGTTACCGCCACTGAACACGGTTGTGAAGAATGGAGATAGCTGACACAATGAAGCACATGATTCATCCTGGTCTACACTTGACTGCAAAGTCAGGGTAGCCATCATGTTAACTAACTCAGTTCTGCACAACCATGTTCACAGTGGCATAGCCAGGTTCTAAGTGCAGGGGAAGCAAACATAAAAAAGGCGCCTCCCCCTTGGCTCCTCCTCTGGCCACGCCCCCCCTTGGCTCCTCCTCCGGCTGCTCCGTGCCCCCCCCCCTTGGCTCCTCCGGCCACACTGTGGTCATGCTGCACCCCCCTCGGAGGGGCTCGGTCTGGGGGGAGGGGGCCGGGCGCAGCCCAGCCCGGCCAAGGAAGTTTTTAGGGTGCGATTGGAGGCGGGGAGAAGAGGCGAGAAAGTTTCACGCGCCCCTGGGTGGGACTCACCAGCTGCCGAGCGACCTCGGAGGAAGCCATGACACCACGCCGGGCAGCCGCCACGGGAGAGGGAGGGGAGAGGCGCGCGGGAAGCTCCAGGCAGGCTGGAGTCTCGGACGTGAGCAGGGAGCAGACGGTTGGTCCCCTCCCCCCTCAGACACCCCACTCATTGGCTCATTAGGTCCGCGCATACCTGGCTGCCCAGGGGCCTCTGATGAGGGACCTCCTCCTCCCCCACAGCGCCAGGGTGCCCAGCTCCTGCTGGTTCCCGCTGAGTCCGGCGCGACCTAGGAGCCGGCTCCCCACGGGGAACAGAATCTGTCCCTGTGGCTCGGGGGGGGGAGCTTCCAGCTCGTATCTTCCTGGGTGGGAGCAAGTGCCGGGCTCGCCGTCCCTCCTCCCCAGCAGGGGCTCAGGCAGAGCGGGCTGGCGGTGAGGGCTCGCTGGGGCTGCC